CCCTATGGAAAAAAAAAACCCTTCAAAAAAAAAAAAAGTTGACATTTACTTTCATTATATAATTTCCAAATCTATGCAAAAGTAGAAAGAATACTTCAGTGAATCTGACATGCTCATTATCATAAGACTTTTTTAAAATAATTATTTTATTTAACTTTATTTATTTATTTTAATTTGACCAGAGAGGGACAGACTGAGATAGAGATTGGGAAAGCAAGAAACCAAGCCTCCAGTTCCAGGACTCAAACCACAGTTGGCAATGTGGAAGTCCAGCACCTTTAACCACCACACCATCTGCTGGCCCATTTATGGGACTTTAAATTATAAAATAATTTCCCTGTAAAGGAAGATTTTCTATACATCCTATAATGATTTTTGTGTCTCAAAAAAATAAATAAATAAAGGGACCAGCAGATGGCTATGTTGCTGGAATCCCATGTGGTCGACTGGACCCAATGCCTTAAACTCACGCCTGGCGCATTTGCATGCGTACCCAAGATCCTGAGAGGAGAATGGAAGAGGAGGGATTGCGGTGTGGCCATTCCCCCTTGGGGGTTATTTCTCGCTTTCTGTCTGTCTCTCTCTGTCTTTCTGACGAGCATACGCACCCTGTAGCAAAAAAAAAAAAAAAAAAGTTTTTGTGGACAGCATAATTATATTGTACCGTATTTTGTAATAAAAATGTTAATTTGTCAAAGGTAAATGTGCCAGCCCAGCCAGTGACAAGATGGTTCAGGAGGCTGGATCCCACATGACCCACTGAAAGTTCCAGTCCCAGGCCTGGCAGTTTGAAAAACATGCCAGGGGTGGGGTGGTAGTTAAGGTGCCGTGATTTGAGTCCCAGACTTGGCAGTTTGCTTTCTCACCTTCTCTCTCTCTGGTGAGCACACATGCTCTGTAGCAAATTTAAAAATAATAATGATAAATAAAATTAAATACTTCTTTTTAAAAAAGGTGCATACCCAAAATCCAGAGAGGAGACTGGAGGAGAAAGGATGACAGTGTGACCATCCCCTCGGGCAGTGATTTCTCACTTCCCTGCCTCTCTGTCTTTATGAAGAGTGCACGATAATAAACAAACAAAACAAAAACAATTCTTCCTCATTTGTAGGTGTGTCTGGAGCCACACAGAGGGTGGAGACCTGGTCCTCTCTAGAAGATCTGTGACCCCGGGCGGCAGGGGCTGGGGTGGGAAAGGTCTGAGCTCTGCTTCCGCCCAGTGGTCGGGCCCACAGCGCTGGCACTAGGCCCTTCACCCCAGGTGACTGGGTGCCTAACGCTAGGGCCGCCTAGGAGGCTCCGTCTGCCTCTGCAGAACTCGACCAGATCACAGTGCGGGCTCCGCGGCCACCGGTTCTAGGCCCTGGGAGAGCAGGGGTGGCGCTGGGAGGGAACCTGGGAGAGAGGCGAGGAAAGGTACCTGAAGCTGCGGAGCAATTAAGTGCCCCCAGCCGTGCCTGCTAGGGTTCCGACCATTGTGTGCTTGGGAGGCAGCGCTGTTAGTGACCCTAAGTCACGGAGGAGTGCGCCGCAGGCCCGCCCGGAGGTCCCCGAGGGCAGGGCCTCCGGCTTCCCATTCTTCCCCGGTTCCCACAGCGCTGGGGCCCCGCTCGGCTCACAAAGAGTTTCAATGCTCGCTTTTGACGGAACCTTTCCCCTTTGTATCTGTCTCTGCGTCTCTCGGCATCTCTGTCTCTACGCGTCTCTGGCGTGCTCTTGTTTCCCGACATCCTTCCCGAGCCCCTGGGGAGCAGGACTGGGGGGGGCAGGCAGTGGGAACGGGACGGCGTCCTGTTCTCACCAAGGACAATGAGGGCCGGAAAGGGCTGGAGCCAAGGCCTGGCGCGGGCTCCCCCTCCCCGCCTTCCCTGGGCGCCCCAGCTCCCGCCCTGACCCGCTGGCGGGCCCTAAATGCCAGGCGTCCCTCGGGGTGGGGCCAGTGCGCGGGGCGGTACAGCCCCTGTCCCGGTCTCGCCTTCTCACTGCCCTCTTCTCGGGTGGCATCACCGTCTGCCCCCAGGGGCGCTTCCCTGCCGGGCAGCCAGCCCCGCGGCACCCCCGGCCCCGCGCCACCCCGCCGGCCTCCGCACTCGCGTCCACAGCCCGGTCCCCTGTATTATTTACTCCTGTTTCCGGAGCCGGCGGCGGGTGCCGTGGTGTTGGGGCCACGTGTGAGGGAGTAGGAGGAAACATCTGGCTTCCCTGGATCCTCCGGGGATGAGCCGCCCCTCTCTCCCTCGGGCGTACAGCCTCCCGGGAGCAGCGGAGCCCCAGTAGTGCAGAGGCCAGGAGGTTAGCACCTTTGCCCTTCTCACTCTCGGGTCTCCGGAAACCATGACTCCTCACGCCCCCTTACTTAATGACGGGGCTGTGATCCCCCAGTCAGGGTTAATTGGCAGGTCAGGTGCAGGCAGCCTGCAACTAGGCACCACGGAGATGGGCTGGGTGGAGAGCCCAGGTCGGCGCCACCGGCCTTGTAAATGTGCCCATTCCGAGGAAGGGGTCATTATGCCAGGGCCACTTGCTGCCCTCCTTACCTGTGCAATGTGGGTGGCAGCAGATACCCAAATCCCTGCTGTCCGCTCCGCCCACCCCCCCAGGCCCCACCCACGCCAGCAACTACAGGGGGCGGATGGCCAGGCTCTGGGCTCATCCAGACTGGGACCGAGCCCTTTGCCTGTGCCCACCCGGGTTAGGAGAAAGTCAAGGTTGGACAGTGAGACCTTGTTGGACAGCCACCTCTCCTCTCTGAGGTCCCACAGTCCTCCTCCTGCTCCTCCCCTACCTCCCAACCATCTCTAGGTGAGGTGGAGCCTAGAGCTGCCATCCTCTCAGGGAGGCTGTGGACTCCACGGAACTCTGCATTCGCTCCCAGGCTGGGGAGAGGAGAACGCTGGATGCAGCTCTCCCCACTGGGCCAGTCTTTGCAGGTCCTCTGAGATAGACTTGCACAGGGACTCTGCAGCAATCTTCCTAGCAGCCCTTAGGGCTGGCTTGCACTGGCGCGCCGCTGGTCCCTAGGGAGATGCGAGCTCACAGCACCCCCTGCAGGCGTCTCGGGTGCACTGCTCATCAATCCCTCCCTAGCTCAGGTTAGAGCAAGGGGCTGGGGGAACGGCCGCTAATCCTTGTCCAGAATCCTTATGACTCATTGCTTCATCCTCACTGGGTCTGCTTCCCTAACTTGGGCATCTTCTATGTACAGAATCTTGTTCTGGAAGGGCAGGTTCTTTCTGTTAACCGGCCCACAGAGTGACTGCCTGTTACCAGGCACTGCGGACCACAGGAAGCTGACCAAGATGAGACGTGCACCCTAAAGCCCACACCACCCAGCAGAAGAAAGAGTGCTCAGATGTCCCAAAGGACATGCGCTCTGGACAGGGACTCAGCACAGGCAGGGCAGGGCAGCTGAGCAGCCCCCTGCCTCCTTCCACCATGGCTGCCCCAGAGAGGCTGGTAGCCCTGCTCCTACCTTCTTATATACTTCGCTAAAACTTAAGAAGTTCCTAATATTTTGGCTAGGAGACAAAGAAAAGGAAAGCAGCAGAACAAAGAGACTAATGGTGACCTTGGGGAGTCTTTATTTTTTTAAAGATTTATTGGGACCAGCAGTTGGCATAATGGCTATGTCGCTGGACTTCCACATAGTCGACTACGGTTCGTGTTCTGGACCCGGTGGTTTAAAACTCACACCGGGCATGTGTGCATGCGTGCCCAAGATCCCAAGAGGAGAATGGAGAAGGGACTGCAGCATGGCCATCCCTGCTGGGGGGTGATTTCTCGCTATCTCTCTGTCTGTCTGGCGAGCGCACGCGCCCTATAGCAAAAACCTCTCCAAAAAAAAGATTTATTAAGTATTAATTTTTAAAAATTTGACCAGAGAGAGAGAGAAGGAAAAGTGAGAAAGCATGCTGCCAGGTCTGGGACTCAAACTGTGGTCGTCAGCCTTGTGGGAGTCCAGCACTTTAACTACCATGCCACCTGCCAGCCCCATAGGGAGTCTTTCTAAACACAGGCTTGTGTTAATGCTGGAGCAAACAGCAGGGTCCAGGAGGGAACTCCCACCTCTGCACTTGCAATAGAGACCCCACACAGAACCCCATGCTGTGGTGTCCGGGTGAGAAGTGAGGGGTCTTTCCTTCCCTTACTCCTGTGTGTCAAGGGCTATCCCAGCTCCAACAGGCAGGCCTCTGCACTGCATTTCCTACCCCAGTCCCCACAGGCCCTGGCTGCAGATTATTCATGCACCTTCCTCCCACAGGGAGAGTCTCACACAAGCGTGTGTCACTCCAGGACCTGCCTGAGTGCCCGGCACCAAGAGCACTTGATAGCTATTTGGTAAAAGGAACCCCAGAGGAAGGAAAGCCTTACCATCCATAAAGTCTGAAAAAAGTAGGTACCTATGGGTCCGAACAATCTGCACACCTGGACAGGCATGCAGACGTGGCCCGGGACACATCACAGCTCACAAAGCTACAAAGAATCAGCTTTATTGGAGATTCAGGGTTAGTTTCTCTTCTTGCCTTTGCCTGTGACCTTGGCTGGTGTGAGGACTGGAGCCGTTGCCTGGTACAGGGTGGAAGAGATCTTGTTGATGTAGTACAGACCAACCATGGAGAAGATGAAGCTACAAGGTGAAGACAGAAAGAAGGGCATGGCGTGAAGTTGCCGACAGCTCGGCACCTGCTAGGGTAGGCGCCAGCATCAGGGGAAGAACTCAGGCCCAGGTTCGGGAAATGGGGACAGGTAAGGAGGCAGAGCAGACGGGGAAGTGGGCACAGGAGGCCTCAAGCTCTAGCTGGCACCATCATAGTAGGATCGGGTGCCAAAGGACAGGGGACTCCTCGCCCAGCTGCCGGGTACATACCAGGTAGTGACACAGACTCGGTGGATCAGGCCAGATGCAAACAGAGCCAACAGGAGGCAGAGGAGAACTAGGGAGGCAAGCAGGACAAGGAGACGGTCAGAATGCAACACCAGGCAGTCATATGTAGAGGCCAGAAGGCCGAGGCCCTCTGAATCTTGGGGAGCCTGACAATAGTCGGAGGATTTCAGATGGCCTTAATCATGCCCAGGACATGGAGCCAGGACATGCATGCTTTTTATCAGCTCTGCCCCAAATCTCACTTAACTTTCCTATCCTGGCTTTCCTTCTATTAAAAGGAAAAGGAAGGGCAGATGGAGAGCCTGAAGAACACTGCTTGCTCCTATCTGGAGAAGAGGGCTAAGGCCTTTCCTATAGAAGCCAGTCGAAGAGAATCAATTCATTAAGCTAGCTGACCAATGGTAGAAGTTGAGTGTTGGGGCCAGCAGGTGGTGTGGTGGTTAGGGTGCTGGACACTCCCACTTGGCTCACTGTGGTTCAAGTCCCAAACCTAGCAGCTTGCTATCTTACTTTCCTGCTCTTGCTTTCTGGTGAATAAAATAATAAATAAATAAATAAATAAAAGTGAATAGATAATTTTTTAAACAATTATTTTATTAGTCTTTATTTATTTATTATTTTTAATTTGACCTGAGAGGGCCAGTGAGAGAGAGAGAACGTGAGAAAGCAAGTCTCCAGGTCCAGAACTTGAACCACGGTCAGCCATGTGGAAGTCTAGCACCCTCACCCACACCACCTGCCAGCCCCAAACAGATATTAAAAAAAAAGAGGTTGAGGGCCTCACTCCTTGGACATAGGGTGGAAGGCAGAGTGTCTGGATATGCTTGTCCATGGGGGCACGAAAGGATCTGAGAACAGGAGGAATAGGAGACAAAGTGGGAAGGCAGAAAACAAAGGCACATCGGGTCTCACTTCCCTGCTGAGGGCAGGGAAGGCAAAGAAGGTAAAGAACTCTGCCCCATACTATAGTTTCTTGCAGAAGCAAATGAAGACAGTGCACTTGGAAACAAAATCTGACAGAAGTCTGCTGGATGGAAGGAGCTCTGGAAGCCTGCAACAGGGCTAGGTGAAGAGAACAAGACCTAGAGAGGGCATGGGACCAGCAGGTGGCATGGTTGTTAAGGCATTGGACACTCCCACGTGGCCAACCACAGTTCGAGTCCTGAACCTGGTGGCTTGTTTTCTCACTTTCCCTCTCTCTGTGTGTATCTTTCTCTGGTCAAATTAAAATAAATGAATGAATAAATAAAAATTTTAAAAAAAAGAAAGACTAGGACCAGAAGTTGGTGTAATGGCTATGTTGCTGAACTCTCATATAGCCTACCACAATTTCAGTCCCAGACCCAGTGGCTTAAACTCATGCTGGGTGCTTATGCCAGGCGTGTGTGCATGCGTGCCCAAGATCCCAAGAGGAGAATAGAGGAGAAGGAATTGCAGCCTGGCCATCCCCCCAGGGGGTGATTTTTCACTTTCTGTCTCTGTCTCTCTCTGTCTCTCTGGCGAGCACACGTGCCCTATAGCAAAAACCTCTCAAAAAATAAAAAAATAAATAAAAATAACAAGACCTAGAGAAGACAAAAAAAGAAGGGCAATGGTGATGGGTCTTTCCAGGTGAAGGCTGCACACGAGATTGCACCTGCTGGGGATTTTGAGCATGTGGCATTCCTTAGGTGATCTGGCCTCGACGCCTAATTTGCTTTATGAACTTAATTCTCCATAAATAACTAAATCATCAATTCTTGATTACATGAGTAATTTAGCAAGGATTATTCCAAACAGAAAATAGCCTAGCGTTTTTTCTAATTCGGTCAAGATTCCAACTGCTATAGAAGTTTGATGGAGAGATGGAATTAAAGTACAAATCTGTTTTGGTGCAAAATAAAATTTGAAATCCATATGCATAGTTTTTATCATAATATACATTTTCTTGTGTGTGTTGGCCAAAGACAGACAGAGAGAGGGAAAGTGAGAAAGCACCCCCAGGTGGGGTGGCCACGCCATAAGCCCTTTTCCTCCATTCTCTTCTTCAGATATTGGATACCCACACACATGGACCTGGCATGATTTTGAAGCTGCTGGGTCCAGAATTTGAACCATGATCGGCCATGTGGGAGTCTAGTACACCACCTGCTGCCCCCCCGGGAGTGTGTGTGTGTTTGTCACAGAGTGCGTGCACGCCCCAGAAAGAGATAGAGAGAAAGTGAGAAATCACCCCCCAGATGGGGATGGCCACGCTGCAATCCCTTCTCCTTCATTCTCCTCTCAGGATTTTGGGCATGCACACACATGCATGTGGTGTGATTTTCAAGCTAGCAGGTCTAGGACACATCACCTGCTGGCCCCAGCCTTGGTGTGTTTTCCAAGCTTCCAGGGCCGGGATATGAACCACAGCCAGGTGACCTGGCTCCCTAGGTACAGGGCTTAATCATTGCGCCATGGGGCAAGCCCTCATAATAACTATTTTCCGTGAACTTTTGAAAACCCTTCATACGTAATAATCAGGCTCTTCGCAAGCCCCTCAAATGAAAACAGTTCACTAATAACGAGTTCATTTCATCCAGACCCTCAGTGACCTTGGTACTGATGCTTCTTCTCATGGGGATAAAGAACACCTCCCTGCAGATAGATGCAAAATATCAGCCCAAACTTGCCTGTTCCCCTCAAACCTCCCTGGAATCTGGTCAGAGGTAAAAGAGTTTCCTGCTTTCAGAGGCCATTTCTTCCGGCTCCCATTTCTGTAACTAGATAAGACACTGGATTCCAAAACGGTCTTCAGTCTTCAGACAGCCCTAGTAAACACGTTTCTCTTTAACAACCTTTACCATCTAAAGTGCCTGGACATGCAGTATCTCAAGGAGGTTGGAGAGGTTTAAATGCTCAGCCCCAATTTCCACTTACTCTCAGGGAATATCTTTGCTTGGAATCCTTTGCCAAAGACAAGATTCTCCAGATTATTGAAGGCCTGGGTTGAAAGAGTTAAGGAGGGCGTGCAACAGAGCCAGAGAAAGATGTGGGTAGGAGGCAAGGCACAAACGTGCGTGGCCCTCCATCCTTCCTACCCGCAAACACCACCCCCTTTCACCGCAGGGAGGATACAGTGAGAGAGAAGACGAAGAGGCCAGAGCCGAGCAGGCCCCCCTGGATGGTGAGCCACTCGGTGGAGGCCAGCTGGCGGCTGTACATCTGCATCCCAGCGAAGAGCAGCAGAGACAGGAGAGAGGAGAGCGCCAGCGAGGTGCCCGTACCCACCACTGGAGAGGATGGGAGAAAGCACAGTCACGTTCGACCCTCCCTCCAGGATTCGGCCAGTCCTGCAGCTCACTTCCAAGCGTTCCCAAGACTGCAGCCGCACTCCCCAACTCCCCACACTCCGTGGCGATCCCCCGGGAATTTCCTAGCCGTGGTCGCCCCAACCCTCCTGTCCCGTGGCAATGCCAGCTCCCTGAACCCCGGGACACGTCAGCTCTGCAGGGAGAGGATCAGGAAAGCAGGACCGCCCCAACCTCGACCCCGGATAGCCGGTCCCGGGGATCGCGCCCGACCCGTTACCCATCATTCCCCGCCGGTGAGTCCAATCGGAGCCTCTGGCCAAAAAAAGAGAAGAACCGAACCGGGTACGGTTAGCTATGCGCATGCGTCAGCGCCCAGCGGCGGACTAGCTTCACCCCGGTCTTTCTCTTTCTCCCTCTCGGCGACTGGAAGCGGCGCCCTCTTCCGGTATGGAGGACACAGTGTGTCGAAGCGCATCCTCGGCCACCGCCCTGGTCCCTAGCCGCTCCCGGTACCCGGTGCATCCGCCACCTCCCAGTCCAAGCTACGCTTATCTCTTCAAGACACTGCGCCCACGGCCTATAGCCTCTAACTCCCCTCTGCCTTCTTAGCCAATTATGTCATGTCCAGCGCGTGTTCCTCAAACCTGCCTGCCTCGTGATCATTGCCTCGACCTCTCCCGTGAACTCTTGCCAACCCAGAAGGTAGTGCCCCAACCTGAAGCCCATCTTCCTCCAAAACTAACCTCCCGCTTTACAGGAGTAAGTAGGAGCCAATAGAATATGAAATAAGAATTGCCCCCCAAGACCCTTCCATATTACCCAACCACCCCCCCAGCCTTTCGAGAACCACGTGGGGAGAACTATTTCCCACCCCCTACCCCGACCGGCACTGTTCAAGGCTGGTCCCTGGAGCATGCGCAGTGACACCTCACCCCCACCCTTCCCCACACCCCCACCGGGCTCCTGCATTAAGCCCGGGTTCGCAGCCGCAGCCGGGATCGGGCACCCGGGGGCGGGCGGGCACGGTAGGGCCATGGCTGAGGGTGAAGATCTGCAGACTTTCACTTCCATCATGGACGCACTAGTCCGCATCAGTGTGAGTTAAGGTGGGGTTGGAGGGGGAGGAGAGGCAGGGGTTTGGGGGCCAGATTGGACCCTGAACAGGTGGGGATCCGGCAAAATGCTGGATGTAGATGGGGCTAGTGATGGCAGAAACGACTGAGAGGGGGGAGATGGAAGTGCGAGAGGGTCGTGCGGGAGGCAGCCCGGAGGTGAGTGCGGTGAGGGCGTCGGTCTGCAGGGGTGAGGACCGGGGGCTGCCCGGTCCCAGCGGGTGGCCAGAAGGGCTGCGGGGCTGGGGCTGCAGGGGCAAGGCGCTGTGCTCTGAGGGGCATATGTGAGCTTGGATATTTTCCAAGACTGAGGACAGGTAGGGATGATGAAGGAGCCGCCCCAGGGTGCAGCTCCCAATTTGGACCCCTCCCCGAGACCCCACCCCGTCGCACCCCCACTCAGGGCAGTCTCCGAGCCTGCGGTTGTCATGACAACCCGTGCCCGGCTCTCCCAGGGGCGGTGCCAACCCTGCTCCCCCCCACCACTTCCTTCCCCCTCCCTCCCTGTCCCTCCCTCCTTTGTGTCAGCTGCGCCCCTGACCGGGATGGCTGCGAAGAGAGGGACCAAGGTGAGGTGGGGGGGTGGGGCATAGCCTGAGGACCCCCTGCCACCCAAAGGGGGAGGGGTACTTCCGGTGGGGAGGGGGCGAGTAGGCGGGGCGCTTGGACCCCCGTAGCTTGGGGAGGGGTTGCGGGTGGTCAGGGTTCTCTGGAGGAGGGGGCGCGAGCGCCGGATGGTGGCGGGCGCAGGGCAGTGGGATGCAGGATGAAGAGCCAGCGGCGCCTGGCTGTGGGGAGGAGTCACGCGTGTGTGTGTATGGGGGTACTGGGGGGGGGTGGCACAGAGCTGCAGAATGGGCGGTGTCCTTGAGAGAGATGCCAGGGGCAGACGGCCCAAGGATGAAGGGATGGAGGCAGGTGAGGGCGGCTGCTGGCACCTCCTGCAGCAGCCAGAACGCTGTGGGTGGGGCCTGAGGCAGGGGAGGCTGGAGCTCCGACCACCCCGCCTCCGTGGGCCTTTAGCTCTGCGGGAGCGAAACGGAGGCGCGGCGCAGAGAGCTGGGAAGGTGCGAACCAGGCCAGGGCAGATGGGGGAAGCCGGCAGATCGCTTGTCTTGCCCTTGCCGCTTCCTGAGACCCCTCGGTCTCCAAGGGCAGCCAGGGGCTTGCTGACAAGACCAGCTGTCCAAGCGCTCAGCCAGCCTCGCTCCCTCCGCAGACGAGCATGAAGAACATGGAGAAGGAACTGCTGTGCCCAGTGTGTCAAGAGATGTACAAGCAGCCGTTGGTGCTGCCCTGTACCCACAACGTGTGCCAGGCTTGTGCCCGGGAGGTGTTGGGCCAACAGGGCTACATAGGCCATGGTGGGGACCCCAGCTCTGAGCCTACATCTCCTGCCTCCACCCCATCCACTCGCAGTCCCCGCCTGGGCCGCAGAACTCTCCCCAAGCCAGACCGTTTGGACCGGCTGCTTAAGTCAGGTGGGCTGGGGCCCTTCTGGTGGGGGTGAGATGGGGGTGGGAATGCTGGGTGCTGGGCTGTCACCAGGAAGATGGGAGGGGCCCCTCACTGGTCAGGAGCATCTGTCTTTCTAGGGGTGGAGATGCAGCTTACCGTTAGGTTCTAATGATAGCCCAGCTTGGCATAATGAAAACGTAATTTTTATAATAAATTGAAGAGACTTCCCCACCCCCGTCCAGCTGCAATTCTCACCTCCTCTGCCTCCCCGTCCATCCACAGGCTTTGGGACATACCCTGGGCGGAAGCGAGGTGCTTTGCACTCCCAGGTGATCATGTTCCCGTGCCCAGCCTGCCAGGGCGACGTGGAGCTGGGGGAGCGGGGCCTAGCTGGGCTTTTCCGGAATCTGACCCTGGAGCGGGTGGTGGAGCGGTACCGCCAGAGCGTGAGTGTGGGGGGCGCCATCCTGTGCCAGCTGTGCAAGCCCCCACCACTCGAGGCCACCAAGGGCTGCACGGAGTGTCGCGCCACCTTCTGCAACGAGTGCTTCAAGCTCTTCCACCCCTGGGGCACCCAGAAGGCCCAGCACGAGCCCACCCTACCCACTCTCTCCTTCCGCCCCAAGGTGAGCCAGCCTTTGCAGGGCCTGGGGAGGCAGGGGCATGGTGGTGCTGGGGGCGTGGGGGTGCGTTCTGAAAGGAGGTTTGCAGTCGCTCAGCTCCTTTCTCTGTAACAGTCACTGGCCAAATCACTTAGCACCCGCTGCACGGGGGTGTCACTATCTGCCCTGCAATATCCGACCTGCAGGGCCTTAGGGAGGATCATACGAGATATTGTTTGTTCACTCAAAAGTGTTATGGTAAGCTAAGGAGGTCTGTATGCATTCATTCATTAAACAAATATTTATCGAGCACCTATGTGCGTGCTGTTATTCTAGGCGCTGGAAAAACAGCAGTAAACAAGATGGACAAGGTTAATTATTAATCACCAGGATAAGATTAATTTTCATTTTTACTTTTAAAAGATAAGGGAGGAGCAATGCTGGTGAAAGGGCCATTGCCTGGAGACTGCAGGGACGGCACCCTGATGCCGGTTCGTGCCACCAGGTGGCACTGTGGTGTACCGCCAGCTGATTTATTCCGGCCATGGAAGAAGGGCCAGGAGGGCTTTGGCGCTCAACTCCCTTACACACTAGCTTCTTGCTGTTTTCATCCCCAGGGCTTGATGTGCCCAGACCACAAGGAAGAGGTGACCCATTACTGCAAGACGTGTCAACGGCTGGTATGCCAACTCTGCCGGGTGCGGCGCACCCACAGTGGGCACAAGATCACACCAGTGCTCAGCGCCTACCAAGCCCTCAAGGTGAGGACTCCTCCTTGCTTGCCCCCAGAGCTAATGCATCCTTCTACCTGCTGCAGCTCCTCCTAACTGCTGGCTTCCGCAGAGCTAGGCCTGACGCCCACCTCTTTCTTCCCCCTCAGGACAAGCTGACAAAGAGCCTGACATACATCCTGGGAAACCAGGACACAGTGCAGACCCAGATCTGCGAGCTGGAGGAGACTGTGAGGCACACCGAGGTGAGACAGGGCATGGGGTGGGCCCTGGGCCTGCCTGAGAGTGAGGCAGCAAGGGGGTCGGGGGAGCATGGCTCAGGAGGTCCACATGTGTGTTGAAGCGCTGATTAAACCAGGTTGGTGGGAACACCAGTGCCCTAGGCCAAGCTGTAGTGGGGCAGCAGTGGGGACAGGGTGGCTCAAATTTTGTCCCAATGCCCTTAGGCTCAGTTGCCTCTTAAGAATGGCACATGCTCCTGGAGCCAGGGGGAGACCATGGCCCTAATCCCTTCTGCCCGACTAGTTGAGTCAGCGCATGGGATGGGCAATAAGGATGGCATAGAAGCCAAAGGACATTAGTCACAGACACGTTAGTGTAGCCATGCCTCTTTCTTGGGTGAGTCCTTACGGGGTTGGGATTTTGATGTGAGCGTCCAGGAAGGTAGCATAAACAGTCAGAGGCCTTTGCAGCCATGTGTCTGGCCCCACCGGAATGGGCGGTAGGATGTCCCCAGACCCATTGCAATCCTGGCCGTGGTGCAATGCCCCAGAGGCCGGCCCAGGTGGCACCTCCCAGAGGAAGGTAGCAAGTCATGCTTCCTTCGTTTGCTTCCTGGGCAGGTGAGTGGTCAGCAGGCGAAGGAGGAAGTGTCCCAGCTGGTGCGGGGGCTGGGGGCTGTGCTGGAGGAGAAGCGGGCATCGCTGCTCCAGGCCATTGAAGAATGCCAGCAGGAGCGACTGGCCCGCCTCAGCGCCCAGATCCAGGAGCACCGGAGCCTGCTGGATGGCTCGGGTCTGGTGGGCTATGCCCAGGAGGTTCTTAAGGAAACAGACCAGCCTTGCTTTGTGCAAGCGGCCAAGCAACTGCACAACAGGTACTCAGGAGCGTGGCACAGGGGCACTGGCTCCTGGGGACGGGGCATCGTGGGCATAGCCAGGTGGAGAACTGGGCACTGAGGAGTTTGCTGAGGCCACAATGATGCCAAGGGGCAAGGAAGAGACCCGAAGCGATGCCAAGGCTCTAGGGGCAGAAAGGCAGAACTGAGGGGAACAGCTGCCCAAGTGGCAGTGCCTGACCCTTTCCTGCCTCCACTGCAGGATCGCCCGAGCCACCGAGGCCCTCCAGACGTTCCGGCCAGCGGCCAGCTCCTCCTTCCGCCATTGCCAGCTGGACGTGGGGCGTGAGATGAAGCTGCTGACAGAGCTTAACTTCCTGAGAGGTAAGGAGATGGCCAGGCCCCATGCCCAACCAGAGCCTCCTTCCCTTCCTCCCCAGCAGCGGGCCCGGGGGGCAGTGCCCACCGGGGACCTCCCCAGCCTCCTGTCTGGCCTGGCCAGCCTCTCCTCCAACCCAGTCCCCGCCACACCGTCCCTGTCCCTGCGCTCAGCGCCGCTTCTCCCTCTCTTTGTTTGTAGGCTGTGGCCACCGCGGACTCTGCTCCGGAGCAGCCCAGGCAAGTCAGCGGCCCTGCCCCGGGGGCCCTGCCCCCCGCCGGGCCCCCTCCCGCCCGCTGCTCCCATGCAGTTCACCCACCTGCTCATTCCCCCTTCCTTCCTGCCTCCACCCGACCTCGTGGCCCACCTACTAGGCCTGTGCCGCTCTCTCTTCTGCCTTCTTTGGGCTCTTGCCTACTTCTGACCCTCTGACCTGTCCTCCTGGGGACCCTTGCCCTCTTGACCTCTCGCACCATTCTCTTCCTCTGCCTCCTCCAGTCTTTGCCCCTTACTGTCAAGCTCTCCCTTTCCTTCTCTGTCTCCCATTTTCTACCTGGCTGGCTCCTGCACTTCCTCCGGTCCCGTCCCCCTCCTTCCCGCTCAGTGCCCTCTTGCCTGGGTTCTAGTGGCCTTGCCTCACTCTCCCTGGGGCTCCTCTTAACTCAGAGGATGTCTAGCCAGAAGGGCCCCCAGAGCTTATCTGTCTTGATACCCTCATTTGGCAGAGGAGGAAACAGACCCAGACAGGGGAAGTGAGTGTGGAGTGAGGTAGTGGCAGACCAGGCTAGGCCACAGGCGCCCCCTCCCTGCCCGGTGCCCCTCCTCTGACTTTCTCCCTTGGGCCTGCCCTGCCCACCTCCTGCCCAGAGCCCACCTGGGTCTTTCCCAGCTCCCTCTCACCCACACTCACCCCCCCGGCTCCCGCTGCTTTCCCTCTTCCTGCCCACCCCTGCCCTCTGCTCCCGGCCAGTGGCCATGCCCTGACTGACCCCCTCTTCTTCCCGCAGTGCCCGAGGCGCCCGTCATCGACACCCAGCGCACCTTTGCCTACGACCAGATCTTCCTGTGCTGGCGGCTGC